GGAGCACTTTGATTGACTCATGTTTGAATTGTGAAATATACCTGAGACTGAGAGACAACAACAAACAGGAACCGTGGAGGCAGACTCCGTCCAGCTCATGACATCTCAGCTGGGAGAGCAGGACCAGCAGTTCCCACCTGTTTGTGTTGCTTTCCACACTTACCATGTGAGACTAATGCTAGTGCCTTCCTCAGAGTGACTGGTGCAAGGTTGGGACAGGCTGACCTCTGGAAGGCACTTGGAAAAGCCTCTGGTGTCCGGTATCTCACTTGCGCTGTGGTTATTAGTATTCCTACTAAATCCCACCAGTGTAGCCATGGTGCACTGGCAGAGATGTCGGCAGACTTGTATACCTGATCTCTTTCTGCAGTGGTCTCTGTGTTTTGGCTTTTTGAGCCTCAGCTTTCCCATGTCTAAACTTAGCCACATACTGTCTATCTCCCATGATGCTCTTCCAAATAAAGAAATAAGAAAATGTATATCCTAGGCATTGTTTGGGGGAATTTTCATTTGCCAGCACTCGGCATGTATTATGTCATCTTTACAGCAACTGTCTGAGGAAGGCATATTTTCCTCTTCTTACACTAGAAGACCAGGCTTGGCAGGTAGCTCCTGACTGCAGAGCTGGGCAGGGCAGACCTGGAATTTCAACACAGGAGTGTCTGACTCCAGGTGCTTGAATAACACTCTGTGCTGTGGCCCATAGACACAAATCTAAGAGAAAACTAATTATAGAAATGCTTTCAGGTGAAGACACTCAAACAGGCAGAGCTGACAGATGGTGACAGGGACTTCCAGGACAAAAAGGACACATTAATTAAAAGCCACATGTGGAAAAAAGGACAGGTTAAGTGAGAGTCACACATAGAAAAATGAAACCCAAGGTTCCCAGCTCCATCTGTGCTCTTAGGATACTGTCATGCCATTTTACTGATTCAGGTGTTAGGAAGATCCTTCCTGGAGATATCTGGCCTTTACAAGAAAGAAAGAGGACTTGGGGTTCCTGATATCTAAGGGGCAGACTGTCCAAATCCCCTATAGCAAAGCCCAGGTACTAGGAAAACCTGCCTATACATAGCACTTGGTCACATTTTTACATGGGAATGAATAAAAAGAAAATTGAGCAAAGCTCAACATGAAGGATAGACAGAGACATACACACAGATACACAAGTCAATAAATGTGAAACACCAGTAGAAGAATGGATGGCCTAAGAGCTAGTTCTGGAGACTACCATATAGCTGTTGAGATGAATGAGACTTACACAATATGGGCATCCCAGAATAGTGACTTAAGGGTCTGGAGAGATGGCTCAGTGGTTAAGAGCAATGACTGCTCTTGTAGAAGACCTGGGTTCGAGTCCCAGCACCCACATGGTGGCTAAAAACCGTCTTTGACTCCAGTTCCAGGGGAACCCAACATCCTCATCTGACCTCTGCAACATTGTACAACATGGGTATACTCATTTACATGCAGGCAATACACTTGTACACATAAAATAAAAATATTTATTTTAAAAAACCTTTAAAAAATAGTGACTGAAGATGAAAGTTGCCTATGGCCATGATATATTTATGTAAATCTACATATAAAACTATATTATTTGAGGATAATAGCAATCAGGGTTAATATATGTAAGAGCCCTTTTACACAGGGGCTACTGTTACCATTTTTTCCCTGAGAAAGCTGATGGGCCAAGTAACATATCCAAGCTCAGGCAGCTTCTCTGTAAGCCGAGAAAGGATACAAACGTATTTGAAACCATTAACAAACTGCAAGGGAGAAAAGCAGGTTGGTAGGGGGAATGGAGTTTTATTGTAACATTTTAAAAAATGCTTTATTATTTTTATTTTATGTATATGAGTGTATTGCCTGCATGTATGTGAGTGCACCCATGTCATGCAGTGCCGCCGAGGTCCAAAGAGGGCGTCAGAGTCCCCTGGAACTGGAGTTAAGGACAGTTTGTAGCTGCCATGTGGGTGCTGGGAATCGAACCCGGGTCCTCTACAAGAGCATTCAGTACTTTTAACTGCTGAGCCATCTTTCCAGCCCCCTTTGTTATATTTTTTTAAAGATTTATTTTATTTCTAATTGTGTGTGTGAGAGCCCACAGAGGCTAGAAGCATTGGAACTCCTGGAGCTGGAGTTCCAGGTGGTAAGCCACCTGAGGTGGGCGCTAGGAATCAAACTTGAATCCCCTGGGAGAGTAGTAAGTGCTTTTAACCTCTGAATCATCTCTCCAGAGCCCCACGTTTTCTTTTTTTAAACAGAGATTTGAAGCACTTGTGGTCAATTGAGGTATCTGTACATCATTTTAAGAAATTTATTACTTTTATTTCATATTTATGAATGTATTGCCTGCATGTAAATGTACCCATGTTGTACAGTGCCCACAGAAGTCAGAAAGAGGACAGTAGATCCCCTGGAACTGGAGTTACAGTTGATTGTTAGCTGCCATCTGGGTTCTGGGAATCGAACCCAGGCCCCCTGGAAGAGCAGCCAGTGCTCTTAACCACTGAGCCATCTCTTCTTGTACATACATCATTTTTCAAAGATGATTTCTTTTGAGCATTTATAGGTTCACAGCACAAAAGAGCAGTAGGTAAAGAGATTTCCATGTACTCCTTATTCTCACATATATGCATACCTCCCCATACACATAACCTCCTTCTGTGCATAGCCTCCACATATGCATAGCTTCTCTAAATGCACAGCCTCTCCACATGCATAACCTCCCCTCATGTGCATAGCTTCCCCACATTCATACCTCTCACACGTGCACAGCCTCCATGTTATGAACATCCCCTATCAGAGTGGCATGTTTGTTAGAATCCATGTACCCTCATTACCACTTAAAGCTCAAAGTTTCCACTAGAGTTCACTCTTGTTCTATATTTGTCAAAGTTTCCATTAGAGTTTACTCTTGTTCTATATTCTGTGTATTTATATAAATATTTAATAACGTGTATCCATCATTATGGTATCACACAGAGTAGCTTTACTGTCCTCAAAATGCTGGTGTCCTGCCAAGTCATCTTTTCTTTAACCTAACCACTGGAAACCACTGACCTTTTCGTTCTCTCCATAGTCTTGTCTTTTCATGAGCTTTTTTTGTTTTTATTTTTTATTTTTATTTTATTTTTTATGTGTATGAGTGTATTGCCTGCATGTATGTGAGTGCACCTGTGTTGTGCAGTGCTGCGGAGGTCGGAAGAAGGTTTCAGATTCCCCTAGAACTGGAGTTAAGGACGGTTTGTAGCCACCGTGTGGGTGCTGGGAATCGAACCTGGGTCCTCTGCAAGAGCAGTCAGTGCTCTTAACTGCTGAGCCATCTCTCCAGCCCAGTTGTGAGCTTTTTAACATTGGATTCTTTCACGTAGTATACACATTTGGATTTCCTCTGTCTTTTCATGGCTCAGTAGCTCATTTGTTACATGTGTATGTGTGAATATAGTGTGCACAGTACATTTGTGTGTGTGTTCTTGTGTATGGAGCTCAGGTTGAAAGTGGGTATCTTTATTGCCCCCATCCTTTATTTTTTGAAACAGTCTCACACTGCACCTAGAGGTCACTAACTAGACTGGCCAGTGAGCTCCAGGAATTTTCTACTCTCCCTCTCACCTTTGCAGCTTTAGGGTTACAGACATGCATCACCATCCCCAGCTTGTTACAAGGGTTTGGGGGTTCTGAATTCAGGTCCTGTGATTGTGAGGCAGGTTCTTTATTAACTGAGCCATTTCTCTAGGCTCTCATAATATGGTTTCTTAAATAGAGTTGTTTCTGGGATCTCTATTATTTCTTTCATCATTGTTCTTCATCTGATTTAGAGTTTATTGATGCTTTTTTGTATGTAGGATCCTATGTTGCAGGAAATCAGATTGAAACCTCATCTGACACATGGGGAGAGGCATCAGCTGAATTCAGTGTTGTCATTAATAATTTCTATGTGTTCCATATGCAAGTATTTTCAAAGAGTAAAAGTGGAATGTGGGAGTTTAGAGTTGGAAGTATGTCTCCATTTTAAGATATTGAGCTCAAAGAGGTGAATGATAACTGCAGGATTACACAGCAGTTACTGACAAAGTTGGCGGTAGGAGGTAGGGCTCCTTACTCTGTGTTTACTACGTCTCAGTACAATGCAGTATACTTGAGCTGAAAATAAAACTGTGGATCATTATATGTAACTTTCATGGATTGGTTCATAAGCTTCTTTGCAGGGTTTCACATCCATAATACTCAGAAAGTTTGGAATGTGGTGTTTGGGATACATAAAAGGCTTTTCAGTTTTATTAAATACAAGGTAAGTTCTTCAGGTAAAAGGTTCTTGTTGATAGTGCTTTAGAAGTTTTTAACACCTGCTTTGGTTGTGTAAATACAGGTATCACTGGAATCCTAGTTTTTCTTTCAGTCAAATGGAAAAATCCCTAGCCTGATGCACTGGAGTGGGATCAGAAATGGGATCTTTTTTTTCTGTATACAAACTTTACTCTCATGGTGTGGGGCTTGTTGGCAGTAGGATTTGATTATTTCCATTTAAGGAATGCTTTTAGGATTGTTCCATTTTGTGTTTTTACAGCAGTCCTAATCAGAAGTGACAGGATGACAGAATTCTAATTGGGGTAAATGCTAGAGTTAGAGTTAACCACCTCCCCCACCCATAACATTAAGTCAGGTGCTTCTTTGCTGCTTGTTTTTAATATCTTTGCCAAAAGGTACATGTTCTGTGCTGGACCTCTGCTATTATACCCATCACTGATTTTCATTAATAGTAGGGCAAATATTTTCATGAATATTAGGATTATTGTAAACAGGTTCAGCATCTCCCATGATCAAAGAAACTCAAAACCCTTATTTAAAGTGGTTCAATAGAATCAGCTTTAGTAAACTTGGTTATTTATTGACTAGAGAATACTACAGCAAAGAAATCACTCTAAAATGTGGTTGTATATAGAATGAGAGGTTGCCTCAATTTCACTTTTATAACATGCTTTATTTTGTAGTGTGTGAACTTAAATCTCCTTCCATGAGTGATTTCCTGTGGGGGCTAGAGAACTCAGGCTGGCTAAGGCACATCAAAGCCATAATGGATGCAGGGATCTTCATTGCAAAGGTTTGTGAATGCACAGAAATAAGTAAGTAAGTAAGTAATAAATGAATGGGTAGACAAATAAGCTATGTGACTTTAAACCATGACCCGTCTTCCTCCCATTGGTTCCCCTGTATCAGTGCGTGGATAGCTGACTTTGAAGACCTTTGTAGTGAAAGTGATTTTGTGAAAATACAGTGCTTAGTTATGTAGGCAAAGTGATCAAATGTTAAAATATTTTCAGAATACTCTCTCTTCCATTATGCTTAATCCTGGTTAGAGGGAAGAGTTTTTCTGTAGGAGAATATGCAGCTCTATGTGAGTCACCTCAGAGATAGAGTCCTGTCTTATATCCAGTAGATCCTGCTTTCCAGTCATGGCATAAGCAAAAGCTGATAGGTGGATTCCACTCTGCCATAGGAAGGATCTTGCTGGAACTTTTATGCAAAATGTTTTTGAATGTATTATGACATTGAGTGCTTTGTTTTTTGAAAATAAATTCGTCTTAGCTTTCTGCCTACAGAGAACTATATCTTTTCTGATGGTATGGTATGTGCTTTATTAAATTCAACAGATACTTATTTAGTGCCTGGTATTTTGCTATGATGCATGGTGAACCCTAAGTCAGATCAAGTCGTCTCTTCTCTTACAGAACTGAAAGACACACGAAAGGAATGAACAAATAAAAGTGGAATTTCAGTTAGTTATAAGTATTCTGTTATCTACAGAATTTCCAATTCATGTTTTCTGCTATGATAGCTAAATGTGTGTGCATACACAGTAGCAGACAGAATTTTCTCTTAGCAAATTTTCTGGTATAGCTTTAATCTTTGCCTTCTCTTCTTCCTCTGGATACATTACTTGGCTCTTTTTACCTGTAACTGCATAATTTGATAAATTGAGTTTTTGTACCTTTTTTTCTAGAAATGTTGGGGCCAGTAGCAATCCCCAAATTTCAGTAAGGCCAGAATTTCACTCAGGCTTACTATGGAAACCAAATGGGAGGGAAGGGTTTGCAGGTGGCTGGAGAACATGTCATGAAGATGTTATACTTTTATTTAGCATTCATGCTAAATTGGGGTGATCTGAATAGTGGCTTTTGTATATAATGAAAAGAAGGAAAAGCTTAAGCAACTAGCACTAAGCTCTGCAGAAGGTCAGGCCTAAGTGCTAAATAAAGGAATGAACAGATTTGTGTTTTGTTGTAGTTCTGTTGGTCTATAACTAAACCTAGTCATGTGACTCTTTGCCATTGGGTATTTTCCAGGCAGTTTCAGAGGAAGGGGCCAGTGTACTTGTCCACTGTTCTGATGGCTGGGACAGGACTGCCCAGGTATGCTCAGTGGCAAGCCTGCTCCTGGACCCTCACTACAGGACTCTGAAGGGCTTCATGGTGAGTGTGGTGACAGCCTGCTTGAGAGGGGCAGGGTCTTGAACAGCAATGCACTTCATCTTTAGAACCTTGGGGCAGCTTCTTCTGATGAGCATTAACTTTCTCTTAGTTGATCAGCAATGCTAATTGAATGGGAGAATTCAAAACAGACTTGAAGAAAAGTGATAAATGTTGGGGATGTTAAAATTGGTTCAGTCCAGTTCCCTTGGACATAAATTTTGAAGCAAATATAAACCATATTCAGGGGGCTGGAGAGATGGCTCAGTGATTAAGAACACTGATTGTTCTTGCAGAAGACCCAGGTTTGAATCCCTGCACCCACATGGCAGCTAACAGCTGTCCATAACTCCAGTTCCAGGGGATCTGACAGCCTCTTCTGGCCTTCGTGGGCTTTGCACAACATGGGTGCACTTACCTACATGCAGGCATAACACTCATACACATGAAACAAAAATAATAAATACAATATTTTTAAAAAAAATTAAAGCTGGGTGTGGTGGTGCACGCCTTTAATCCCAGCACTTGGGAGGCAGAGGCAGGTGGATCTTTGTGAGTTCAAGGCCAGCCTGGTCTACATAGTGAGTTCAGCAATTTGGAAAATACTAATTTAAAAAAATTAATTTTTATTTTATGTGTATGAGTGTATTGCCTGCATGTATGTAAGTGCACCCATGTCATGCAGTGCCCACAGAGGTCAGAAGAGGGTGTCAGATCCCTTGGAACTGGTTGGATGGTTCTTAGCCTTCATGTGGGTGCTAGGAATCAAACCACAGTCAGTGCTCTTGACCCTTTTGCCATCTCTCCAGCCCTGGAAAATACTGATTTTTATACATGATTTGCTCATAAGTATTTCAAGTTGGGGTAATTCAACTTGGTACATAACAGAAAAGGTGAGTGAGAATATTTGTGAAAAACTTCCCTGCCTGGAGCCAGCAGCTTGACTGGGTAGGTTTGGCTGTTGCTCCCACTGCTCCTTGACGTCCCCAGCCTCATTCACCCTCCCAGCTCCCCCACCCAATCTCACCTTCTAGCAGGGGCACTGGCACATTTCCTGTCTTGACACCCTAGACCTCTGGACTGACCTCTTGGCCCAAACTCTCCACTGCCTCCTGTTACTTAGCATCCAGACCAAACCAATTCCTCCTTCTATTCCTACCTCTCCTTGTATCTTTTGGCTGCCCAGCCCCACAGCTTCCTGGAGCCAGCAGCTTGCCTGGGTAAGTTTGGCTGTGCCCACTACACCTTGACTCCCCCAGCCTCATTCACCCTCTCATCTCTCCCCGAGCAGAGGCACTGTCCCATCTTGTGGTGACACCCCAGACCTGTAGAGAGACCTATTAGTCCAGAATCCCCACTGCTTCCTTATCCTTTGTGTCCAGATCAACCCAATTCCTCCCTGCAGTCCCCAGGAGCCCTCAGGCCCCTTTTTGCCCCCACCTCCCTTTACATCTCTGTGGGCCAGCATCTTCCCTGGGCCCTGCTCCCTGGCCAGCCCAGCCTTCAAATTACTGTGGCCAGCATCTTTCCTGGAGGGATCCAGACCTTAGGAGAAAGCCTGAGAGCATCTGATTCTCATCTGACTTGGGCTTCTGTGGGAACTTCTGAGCAGCAAGACAAAAGCTATTTGGCCACTCCAATAGAAAATCAAAAGAGAGAACCTGAAGCCTAGACCAACCAGCTTTTCATGTCCGATAAGTAAACCACAGAGGCACATAAAGTTTACAAAAAGAAGCAGACCAAAACTCAACAAAAGAAGGGTTGAATCTCACACAAGAACCAGAATCTACAAAAGAAACCCACATGTCAAAGTCATAGAGAAAAAATGATAACATCAAAAATCAAAATAATATATCCCCACCAAGTACCATCAGTTGTCTACAGGAGTACAGTGAGAAGCCCCTAGAGATAACACAGGACATGGAACTCAACAATTATAAACATGATAAAAGAATTCAGATAATTTAAAGAGCACACAAAGAAATCAAAGACCTGAAAAAAGATAGGGATAAACTTCTGAATAAATTCAGAAAAGAGTTAGAAATATTGAAGAATGTTTAGGCTGAAATGAAGAAGGAAGTGAAACACTCAGCCAATCAGAATCGACAGGAGAAAGCCTCACCAATATGATGAATGGAAGGTAAAGTGGACGAATGGGACTACTCAAGGAAAGATTATGGGAAAAATTTAAGAAAACACAAGAATGAATTAGCAGGAATTGTGTGACACCATAAAAAGATCAAACTTACGAATCATAGGCATACAGGAAGGAGAAGAATCTCAGCATAATGCTGTGGACCAGATCTTCAACAGGATCATAGAAGAAAATTTTCCAAAATTAAAGATATGCCCATACAAATACAAGAATCATATAGAACGCAAATAGACAAGACCAGAAAAGAAACTCTCCACTGCACATCTTAGTAAAAACACTAAACTTACAGAGCAAAGAGAGAATACTGAAAGCTGCAAAAGAAAACCAAGTCACATAAAAAGGATACCCATCAGAATTACAGCTGACTTTTCAGTGCAAACTATGAAAGCCAGAAGACCCTGGACCAAAGTATTCCCAGTTCTAAATGACCACAGATGCCAACCCAGATTGCTTTACAAAGCTAAAATGTCTATTACAGTTGAGGGGAAAGAAAAATCATCCATGACATAAAGAGGCTGAAAGAATTCATGTCCACAAAAGCAGCCCTTCAGAGATATCTTGAAGCAATACAAAGAGCTGAAGAAATGAACAACTTAACCAAGGGGTCATGGAAAGAAACTTAATGATGGTGTAACTTTGGAAATGCACAGCTACACCAAGGATGTGAACAGAAATAAAAATGACAGGAATTCACATCTTTCATTAGTAACTTTAAATATCAATGGACTGAACTACTCAGTCAAAAGACACAGACTAGTTGAATGGATTAAGAAACAAAACTCATCTTTTTGTTGTCTGCAAGAAATTCATCTCACTTTCAAGCACAGGCACTACCTTAAAGTGATAGGATGGAAAAAAATATACCAAGCGAATGGTACTAAGAGAATAGCAGGCATTGCAATTCTAATATCTGACAAAGTAGACTTTCATCCTAATCAGAAGCAATAAAGATGGCCACTTCATTCTGAGCAAAGGAAAAATTGACCAAGAAGATATTACAGTCAAGAACATACATTCACCAAACTCTGGTGCACCCAACTTCATAAAATCAGTACTATAGGACTTTAAGACCCAGATTAATCCCAACTCATTAATACTGAGGGATTTCAATACCCCATTATCTCCGTTAGTTAGGTCAGCAGGACAGAGAATTAACAGGCATCAGAATTAAACAATGCCATATATCAAATCAGCCTAACAGACATCTACCAAATATTCCATTCAATAGAATATACTTTTTATTCAGAGCCCCATGGAACTTTCTCCAAAATCAGCCATATACTAGGGCACAAAACAAACCTCAACAAATACAAAAACATTGAAATAAGTCCATGCATTCTATCAGACCACAATGCAATAAAGCTTACGGTAAACACCAGAAGAAGCCCTAGTCACCACATGAACATGTGGAGATTAAACAACACACTCTTGAATGATGCATGGGTCAAAGGACAAATTAAGAAAGGAATAAAAGTATTCCTAGAACTAAATGAAAAGGGCAATAGCAGAACAAAACCTCTGAGACACATTGAAAGCTGTCCTTAGAGGGAAGTTTATAGCTCTAAGTGCGCACATCAAAAAGTCGGAAAGAACACAAATAAATGACTTAACATTGCAACTCAAGACACTTGAAAAGCAACAGCAAATGAAACCCAAACCCAGCAGACAAGAAGAAATAACAAAAATCAGAGCAGAAATTAATGAAATAGAAACAAGGAAAACAATTCAAAGAATCAATGAACTCGAGTTCTTTCTTTGAAAACATAAACAAGATTGACAAACTGCTAGCCCAGATAACAAAAAGAAAGAGCACCTCCAAATCAACAAAATCAGAGATGAAAGGAAACATCACAACAGATACCAAAAAGATCCAGAACATTATATGGGCGTATTTTAGAAACCTATATGCTACTAAATTTGAAAACCTAAAAGAAATGGACAGGTATCTAAAAGTAACTCACTAAAACTAAACCAAGAAGAGAGTAAAAGCTTAAATGGACCAATAACACACAAGGATATTGAAAGAGTAATGCAAAACCTCCCAACTAAAACAAGCCCAGGACCAGATGAATTTACAGCAGAATTCTACCAGACATTCAAAGAAGATCTACATCCAATACTACTTAATTTCAAAAAGATAGAAATGGAGAAGTTCCAAATTCCTCCCACGAAGCCAGCATCACTCTAATACCAAACCAGGTAAAGATACAACCAAAAAGGAAAACTATAGACTCATACCTTAGTGAACATAGGTGCAAAAATTCTCAACAAAATACTTGCAAACCGCATACAGACACACATCAAAAGGATCATCCACCATGGTCAAGTTGGCTTTAACTCAGAGATGCAGGCCTGGTTCAATATTCGTAAGTCAGTAAATGTCATAAATCATGTAAATGGGCTCAAACACAAGAACCACATGGTGATCTAAATAGATGCAGAGAAGGCCTTTGACAAAATTCAACATGCATTTATGTTCAAAGTCCTAGAGGGAATTGGACTGGAGGGAACATACCTCAACACAATAAAGCCATATACAACAAACCTACAGCCAGCATCATTCTACATGGAAAAAAACTGGAAGCATTCCCATTAAAATCAGGAACCAGACAAGGATGTCCACTGTCTCTATTCCTTTTTAACATAGTGCTTGAAACTTTTGCAAGAGCAATAAGACAAGAGAAGGAAATTAAAGCAGTAATAATTGGAAGAGATCAAATTACCCCTTTTTGCAGATAATGATATTATGCCTAAGACTCCAAAAAGTTCCACCAGAAAACTCCTAGAAATGATTAACACTTTTAAGTAAAGTGGCAGGGTACAAAGTTAATCTACAAAAGTCTGTATC